TCGATAGATCAAATTACTGCAGAGCCTTTGAATCTGACAATTAGTTATTCTAACAATTAGTCTCAATGATAAACCAAAATTGACATGCAAATTAATAGAAATCAAGATAATCTTTTTTTCATTGCCTAAATATTTATAGAGCCCAGAAGAAATATATTTTTAATCCAAAACTTTCTAATGTCACCAAATTTTATTACAAGTTGCCTTTTTTCCAAGTAAAATAAAATATTCTGAATTTTTAAATAATTAATATTTTGATTCAAAATTATTATTATTTTGTAAGACAGGGACTTGCTCTGTTGCCCAGGATAAAGTACAGTGGCATCATTGTAGCTCTGCAACCTTAAGCTCCTGGACTCAAGCAATCCTTCTGCCTCAGCCTTCCCTGTAGCTGGGACTACAGGTGCACACTACCACCACCATGCCCGGCTAATTTTTCTAATTTATTTATTTATTTTTTTGATAGAGACAGTGTCACTCTTGCTCAGGCTGGTCTCGAACACCTGGCCTCAAGCGATCCTCCTGCACAGGCCTCCCAAAGTGCTAGGATTACAGGTGTGATCCTTGCCCAGCCTCTGATTCAAAATTCTGATTTGACTTTGACACTCTGCTGCCCAGGAAGAAGTAATCCAACCAATGTTACACCAGGTGTGGTATGGGTTTTAGTGGTGCAACGACTTGCTGTTAACAGAGTATGCCCTCATATTTCACCCATGTTTTGAAGGGGGTAATTGCAGCTTCCAAGCGGTCATGAAGGAGATTAAGCAGCCTTTGAGGCTATTTGCTCATGAATAGTCTTACTAGTTTCAGTATGAATTGTGGGAAAACACCACTATTTTATAAAGAGATAAACTGAGGTGCTGAGAATCTTAAAAAATGGAAGACAGTCACTCTTAGAGGCAATGGAATCAGAATTGTGGTCAAATATCCCCTCCTAAATATTCTCCTGTAACGATAACACTCCATTGCACATAAAATGCGATCCTTTTGAATAATTTTTATTCCCAAATGGTCATAAGTTTCATTCATTTATCTAGTTATTTTACAAAACTTCAACATATATCTAGCATTAGCTTTGATGGCGCTAGCACATCCAATAAAGATTTTTAAAAATGAAAATGTAATGTTTTATATTTGAGAAAAGTTTTTAATAATCTGTTACATAATAAATTGTCACAACTATATTAGTGCTTTAGACTTCTCATTTACAATAGTAGAAGAAGAGCTACTTCTCTGGAATTATCTAAAAACTACTATTTCCCTTACTAAATAATTAACATTAAAATTAAGCAATAAAGCTATCAATAATAATACTCATATGAGTATAGTGCTCCTTATTTACAAATCATTTACTCTGCAACAGACAATATGTTAAATATTTTATAACTAGATATAATTTAACTTAATCCTTATAAAAATGCTGTGAGGTTGGTATTACTGTACCCATTTTACATGTTGGGAAATTGAGCCTCAGGAAGTTTAAATCAACTCTTCTAGGCTGTATAGTGGTAAAAGCAGAAGCAGGATTCATCTAAATTCTGTCTGACTCTTACGTCCATGCTCTTAGCAACACCATTCTTTGTAACACACTTTTTCTAGCTCTTATAAGTCTCAAACTATAAAGAAACTTTTCAAAGCTCTTTATTCTTTCTATCAGTTCTTCATCAAGTAACTCCTCATTCTTAACATTCATGAACTTGCTTGTCTAAAAACAAAAATAAAAACAAATTTCTATGCCCCAACCCAGATCTCCTCAATTGGATTCTCTAGAAGTCATGCTTGATAATCTATATATTTAACAAGTAACTTCAAGTCAGTTTAAGAAGCTCTGTTTAGCCCCAGGTTTTACTCTCCTCCTTTTTTTTCTTTTTAAATACATTTTATTGTATTTATTTAAGGTATACAACATGATGTTGAGAGATACAAATAGATAGTAAAATGGTTATACTTTGTTCCCGTTGCAACCATAGATCCTCAGGTAGCATCATTCAAGCATGGCAATCTCTTCAAATTTGATCCAGTGGAGCTTACTATTAGCACCCAGGATCAAAGCCATCAAAAGCTGTTTAAGTTTCCCCTAGGATGTACCTGTGCTATTTCTACCACTGAAATAGAAGTTTGGAATGCATATTCATATTTCAAAATTTAATAAGTATTTATTAGATAAAGTGCCTACTAAGCACTGTGAAGAGTACACAAGTAGAAAATCTAAGGAAAACCCTAGAGTCAAGAGAAGAATACTTGAGTAGAGTCTATGAAGTAGAGTCTACGAAGGAGCAAAATTTGGGATTTCAAGAAGAAAATAGGAAAAAAAGAAATAATTTTCCAATCAGCATTCTTTTTTAAGATGTTAGAATTAATAATATCTGTATTGGGGATGAACATCAAATGGCCACCCTTGTCTAAGATAATTTTTTCCTCATAACTTCTACCTGCAGCACAGGGTTTGGTTGCCTTAACATTAAGACAAATTAAATACCTCCAAATTAAATACCCATTCATTGTATGAGGGATGAGGGAGAGGAAGGTTATTTTTAAGCTCATACTGACTCCCACAGTGTCTTTTGAAAATGAACTACCATAAATCACAGAAAGAAAAAAACAATTACACTACTGAATTTCTTATTGCAATTGTTTCCTGATACCAAATGGATTCATTTCTGATTAGTTTACTTTGGAGTAACTAGTATTCAGTCTTGAAGGAAGAAAAAACACATAACTTCTCAGGTTTCCTTTGCATGTTTTTTTCTTAGTAATCTTTTGCAGTTGGGAATCATGTTACTTCCTTTAACATACTGTGTTTATTATTTTCGCATGTTAAAGATGTTTTAACAGTGATGTTAATAAGTATATTTAGTTTTAATATTGGAAAAATAGACTCTCAACTATACACCAATCTTTCATAAGTTTATAGAAAACTCGATGCACTTGAAATGAGAACTTCTAAATTCATCAAGTAGTTTCTGGATTTGAGCATTTGTACCCAATTTCCATTGAAATCCAGCCTTAGGGAGAAAGAATTCCATATGGAAAAGTTAAGGGCTGAATGAGCTTTGGAACTGAGTTTAAAATTGTGGGAAGACTCCCACTGCTTCACTTGTCTAGCTTTAAAAAATAAAAAGAAAAGAAAAAAAAATGTAGGAAGAAACTCTATTCTGATTTCAATGTATACTGTATACACAGCAGAATGGCTACTATTTACAAAAAGCATCAGGCTACTGAGGTAAAACACTTTTAAAACATAAAGTGAAACACATTTCACTGACTAATATGATAGGCAATCACCCGCTCTGTCATGATTGCCTGGAGATAGACACACCTTTTCATGTCTTGTATTCATCCTGGCAACTTTCACTCCCTCCGGAGGGCTTTTGAACTTGCATTTGACACCTCTTAAATTTATGCTTTCTCTAAATGGGAAGAGGTTTTCTTTTCTTACAGTTTTAGCCTTGTTGGAGTTCAAGTCTAACTTAGATTAAAGAGAAGTAGTCTTGGCCTTAGAAATTCAATGTTTGTTCTTGATCTTTTTTTTTTTTCTTTTGTTTTTATGAGGTTGAGCTAAAAACCCCAAAGTGGGACATAATGGCTTTAGAGACAGGAAGGAAATATTCTTTATTCTTTGTTTCTAGTGTAAAAAGCCCACAAGGCTTTTTTGTAGGAAGCCCACAGTAGAAGTACTCCCTCAAAAGCCACCTTTTTTTTCTTAATAGCCTTAGAAGAGACAGTGTTCAGAAAAGATGACAGCATCAAGTGTTGCTAATGTTAGACCCAGAAACAAGCTAAGTGATTTATGGCTAAAACCCCTATTTACTATTTATACTTGTCAAAATAGAGATTTTTTTTCCCACCAATAAAATGTTTTTTAAAGGTCATTGCCTGTGAAATTCCACAAAAAACAATTTGTCCCCCAAAACAAACAAAAAAAAAATAGGAGAAAGTTCTCAGACGAGACATAGTTAGAAATAATCAGGATGACATCATGAAGAAAGGAAAAATAGGATTATGAGAATGAAAAAAATTTGCATTATGGATACAAAGAAGGAGACAGAACCATTTCTGCATATCAGTTTAAGATTAACTTTCAAAACCTTGTAGCCTTAGAACATGATATCCACTTGGGCTCATATAATACTGAATAATAAATCTTTATCAAAATTACCCAAGTATAAATGCAGTTCATTCATTCAGCAAATATTTATGGAGTATCTGTTATGTTACAGGCACTGTGTGCACAGAAAAAAATTGCAAAGTCCCTACTCTAAGGATAGATCTCACATTCCAGAGGGGAATAGAATCTTCCCTGTTTTGTGTTATAAATTGTACATACCCTTGAAAATGCATAATCTAAAGTAATGAAGGATTTGTTTTCCTTCAAAAATAAAGTTTTCAGGGCAAAAGCTGTCATTTAATCAAAAGATTAGAAGGGCTCTATGTTTGAAGACCCAGAGATTAAAGCAAATTCTCTTCTTTTTCTTGACCAAGATAGAACTCTCCATAATTTTGAAAATTTAATTCAGTTTCCTGTAACAAACACTTATAAAGCTCTCACAGGCAAACTGATACATTTTCTTTAAGGATGTTTGTAATAAATTACATAGAGCAATATTTAAAGTCTATATTTAATATAAGCTAATGAATAATGTTTTCTTCAAATATCAACATTATATTTCATATAATAAAACAACCACAACCAAGAGTTCCCCGATGCCTACCTTGAACAGTCAGAGTAGCAGAAGCTTCAGCTTTTCCAACCATATTTTCTGCAACACAAGTATATGATCCCATGTCACCAGCCATCACCTTCCGAATTTTCAAGGTATGATCATCTCGGATTTCATATCTAATGCCATAACAAAAGAAAACATATTTAAGCGATTTTCTAATTGAAAGATCTCATCATTACACACATGATGCTTTTAGGCTCAAATCACATGCAAAATTCTCTTCAGAAAATTTAAAACAAAGTGTAAAAAATGTGGCATTCCTCTAAGTCAGCAGGCAGAACAAAAGACTTGCTTTTATATTTATGTGAGCTAACATATTAAACTTCTTTCTAAAAGAACATTTTTGGATAAAGTTGGCACTTATTTCCTCAAGCTACTGTGCTCACATTAAAATTAAAAGATAGTGACCATTAATTAAATTTTTATTATATGCCAGACTTTTAAATGTTTTATAACTTTTATCTTTTTAATTCTCATAATGATTGTATGAAGTAAATATTAAGTTTACATCTATTTTGTAGATGAGGAAACTGAGGCATAGGAAGGTCAGGTGACTTGGCCATGGTCCTCAGCTAGTTTGGTGGCAGAGTCAAAATTTGAACCCAGTCTCATTTTAGAGTTCACCTGCCTTGTTTCATCTTCCCTACCCTCAAATGTTGGGTTTCCCCTAAAGTTTCACTTAATTCTCTTTTCCTCTACATGATCTCCCTGAGTTTCATTATCTATTATAGTTTATATATTGATCTACCGCACAAACATTTTTAACTCTTATTTCATCTAAGTTACAAATTCAGATTCCCAATTGGCTAATAAGCCATTGCATCCCATAGGCACCTAATATTTATTATGTTAAATTAACCTTTCTTTTCTTCCCCTAACATAAACTAACTCCTTTTCCTAAGACAGTCTACCCATTTTCCTTCACCAGTTCTCTGTATCTAATAAACCATCCAATTTGTCAATTTAGTCTCAAGAATTTCTCTCCACTGTAGAGTTCTGTCTCCAATTCATCTCCCAGTTCAATTTACATCTCCTGTCTGGACAACCACAAAAATAGTATCCCTGCCCCTAGCCTCTCCCTACCATAATGTAACATCCAGAGTGCTAATAAAATTATGTTTTCTAAGGAGTAATCCTGCTCATACTAACCCCTCTTGGCTCATCAACATGCATGCAATATGATTTGAAATTCTTTATTATACAAAGGCCCAAGTAATTCAGCCCCAGTATTTCCAACCTGACATCTCATAACTCCCCATCACATATCTTATGTGCTAGCCTTGCTAAACTTTCCACTATTCAATATATATGATGTTCTTTCTCAAATTTGTGTCTATGGTGTGATGTCTTTTTTCCTGGAATATTCTTCTTTCTTACTTATGAAACTGATACATATTTTTCAAGACATTGCCTATGTGTTATGTTCCTTTGAGAACTCTCTCCCAATTTTCTTCCCCTGTGCTGGCACAAGTGTACCTTTATGTGACAAAAGGACTTGATAATATTATTCTGTATCTGCCCATATATGATTCCTTTTCTGAGCTCCCAGAGAGCAAAAACTATGTCTAAGCCACTGCTGTAATCCTAACACCTAGCAGAAGCTCAACACATATTTGCTGAATGAATGAAAACACTAGATAAGACAGGCCACTGTCAATACCTACAGGCTTTACTTTATTGCCTCATTCCCTAAGGCTCCCTAATTCCTGTATCTCTGCTCCTGGACAATTTAAGGACTTGACAGATATCAAGAAACTCTGACCTCTTCTACTTTTCCCTGGTGATACTGTAGCTGAGGAAAAGGAAGCCCAAATTTTAATTGGCTCATAGTCATGTCTTCAATGCTGTAACTTTCTTGTCTTTCCTACCTACTGCCATATAAAAAATCGGTATTAACTATGATGTAGCTGAACAGAAGAGAAACCTGCTTAAGAAATACCACATTTTACAAGAGTTCCTTGTGCAGGCCAGGGTCATGAATGTATAGTTCTTATCTGAAAACCTCAGAGAATGCATGGCGACCTCCTGATTCAAATTATCTCTAGTATTATACCCAGCCCCTGATGGCGTCTAGAGTAGGCTATTCTTTTTTCTTTTCTTTTTTTTTTTTTTTTTGAGACAGAGTCTCACTCTGTTGCCCTGGCTAGAGTGCCATGGCATCAGCCTAGCTTGCAGCAACCTCAAACTCCCGGGCTCAAGCGATCCTCCTGCCTCAGCCTCCCGAGCAGCTGGGACTACAGGCATGCGCCGCCATGCCTGGCTAATTTTTTTTCTAGATATACTTTTTAGTTGTCCAGATAATTTCTTCCTACTTTTTTTAGTAGAGACGGGGTCTCGCTCTTGCTCAGGCTGGTCTTGAACTCCTAACCTTGAGCGATCCACCTGCCTCGGCCTCCCAGAGTGCTAGGATTATAGGCGTGAGCCACCGTGCCCGGCCTACAGTAGGCTATTCTAATGGCACATATGGGGATAGTGATCTGATGAGAAGTGTGGAAATGAGGAGTTGATGAATTATAATACATCATTAAATTCTGATCTGTACCTGGATTTGGGCAGCTCTCCATCATCTTTCCTCCATCGTACTGTAGGCACAGGGTCACCTCGGGCCTCACATTTAAACTCCGCACTGTCATCCACAGTTACTGCCAAGTTACTGGGTCTCTTCACAAATGATGGTCTCTCTAAAATTTGAAAGAGCAGTCTTAAGATAAAATAAATGATGAACAAACTGAAAAACATGTTCAGTATGAGCACATCTATAATTTAAAATATGACTGAGAAAATTATTCCACATAGTTCCTTACTTCTAGGAGCTTCTCACTAGGTTTGGTACTTCCTCCAAATCCTCCTCCCACATCTTTGGCTACTTTTTTCGGGTTGCTTTACTGATTCCTTCTCTCTTATTTGTACCCCCCAAAAATATTGGCTTACCAATATTTCCTTCTCCTTGTTTAAGGCTCATTTGAACTTGGTATAAAGGTCATTTCTTTCTCCCTTGTATAAAAATACAAAATAATAATAAGATATATTTTACAGTAAGCAGACTTAATAAAATTACACTTACCTAAAACAGTTAGTTCTGCTACTTCACTTTCACGTTCCCCAACCATGTTGGTACCAACACAAACATATTTGCCAGCATCACTTTTACGAGTGTAAGTAATCATGAGCTTCCCTCCTCGTATCTTAAAAAAAAAATTCACATGAACACTATTAAAATTGCTTTAGCTACGTTTATATGACAGATGTCTTCATAAGTGAAGACTACATTCTAAGTATATATGAGAAAGCTGATGTGTAGTATTTGCTATATTTTTGGGTAGTAATCTTAAATAGAATTAACTCCAAAGGTACAATATAAAAGAAGAAAAACATGACTTATATTTCTTGTGAAGTTATTATATTCTGTATAACTAGAAATTTGTGTTTCCAAATAAGTCAAGTTCTTTGATATTATTTAGTTAAATGAAAACCACAAAAATTGCATGAATAATTTAATTAATATGTGGAAAAAAGAAAAAGGAAAGTCTTAATACCATATGACTATAATTAATATACAAATACATATCAGATATAAGTTATTTCAAGAAAACATATTCAACATTATAAGATACGAAAATAAAAATTTCTCGAATTACTTAATTCCAGAGTTGCTCTACAGGAATGTATCGTAATTGCCAAAACATAGTATAACTTGCCATCTCCTAAAAAACAAAGATTTTGCTGCCTCCCAAGCAGTTTCTTAGAGCCTTAGGAGGGAAAGACTGAACAGATCCCAATAATTCATCTGGAAGGTAACATTTAAGTACACACTTGAACATTTAATTAATTGAATAAAATTAATTCCAAATGTAAACAGAAATACAGTATAAGAAGTAGACTGAAACTAAACATGAATTAAGATGGGATGTGGAAATTGGACTACCTTTACTTAATTTAATACACTTTTGGTTGGGAGTTGAGTTCAATTATCCATCAATACCTATAAAGTCCTGAACTTGGACAGGGCTTGTCGGTGAAAACTTCCAGAATGTTTATTCATGGAGGTTTTGACCTCCCAGTCATTTTGTACAGCACACCAATTAGACAAAGAAGAAAGGAAGGAAGGGAGGGAGGAAGGAAGGGAGGGAGGAAGGAAGGAAGGAAGGAAGGAAGGCAGGAAGGAAGGAAGGACAAAAGGAAGGAAGGAAGGAAGGAAAGAAAGAAACGTTCAAACAAAATTAGACACTATGGAGTTCATTGAAACTACTACTTTATAAAGGCGGGGGTCACACTGTTTCAGAATGC